GAAAGTGGTAAAATACAACAGAACAAGACAGAATGAAGCCAACTAATATCGTACAGTGAAACTGATACAGAACTTCACAGCAGGTTACCGGGATAACAGTAATAGGTATCACAGTATATTTTGTTATCTTTATAATAGTTGTTCTTTCAATCACGTATATCAAAATAAAATGAAATACAGAACATTATAGAACTTATCAAAGCAGAATATTGAATAGAGCAGTACCATTAATCAGAATAGAGTGAAACAGTAATAAAAACATTTTTCTTCAAACAGATAGTAGAAGGAAGTCCCCCGTATTTGCTATGGTCAACTTCCCAGGAGATGCTCAGATTTCTGGTTCCCATTTGCTAATGGTGGGGGGCAGGGGGGACCAGAAGAAAAGGGGTAGGGGAAGTGGGATGTTTGACGCTAGGCCGAGCACCAGTAGGCTCATTATTGCTTAGCAGGGAGGCAGGCTGATTGCTTGGTTTCCCAGTGTCCTAAGTTCCAACATGGCGCGATCTCAGGAGCTGCTTGATGGTTCTCCCCCTGGAAGGGCCGCAGTCCTTATATATTTTCAAATCAACTGTAAATGTTTTTGTTTTGTTTTATTTTTTTGACAAATCCTGTCAGAATTTTTCAGATTGCATTCAATATAGAGATCAAGGTGTAGTTACTTTTATGTGTTGAATTTGGGATTTTCTAGCCACTAACATGATGTATTTTTTATTTAGGTTTTCTTAAATTTCTCTCTGTATTTGTTAATTTTATGAATTGAAGTCTTTTTACCTTTTTACCTTAGTTTTATTTCTCATTTTTAAAATGGTTCTGTATAATGTTTAATTTTGAATTGGATCATTCTTAGTTTCACTTTTTAACTGCTTGTTGTTATAGAAATACTAATTGATCTTGATAGTCACTCACTGGTTAATTGTAACGTGGGGAATACATACATGCATACATACTTGTGTGTATGTAAATTTTATTTATAATTAAGGTAGCTTTTATCTTTCTAATCCTTGTATCGTTTTTTTCCTCACTTTTATCACACTGGCCAGGACCTACAGTACATTGTTAAAGAAACATGGCAATAGAGGTCATCCTTACAGTCTTCTTAGTCTAAAAGTGAAAGACTCCCCAGTGAGTTAGAGTGGTTGGTTGATTGGTATTTACTTACTTATTTATTTATTTCCTTTAGGTGGGATTTTAAAGGTTTGGCTTCTCTTTGCTAGAGGTACTTACTTGTATAAGAGGTTATTTGATTTGTTTCAAGTATTTTTCCTGTCATTATAATACTGCAGTGTTTTCCCTCTATTCTGTTCATTTGGTGATTTATAATGGTGGATTACTTAATGTTAAATAATCCCTAGAATTTTGTGATGATGCATTTTTTTCTTAATTACTAGATTTTTGTTTACTGGGTTTTGTTTTTCTTTTAAGGATTTCTCCCCACCCTCTCCTGTTGCCTATATGCTCCCTTTTTTATGCTGTCAGTTTAAAAGATAATTAAGAGTGGGTATGCTTGCTGTAATCTCAACTAAGGAGGAGCATGAAATAGAATTGCAAATTCAGAGCCGCCTGGACAGTTTAGAGAAACTTGACCTCAGAATGTTTAATGCTAAGTGTAGGTAGTTACTGGGCATATAACTGAAAAGCGAGCACTTACCTATCATTCTCTGTGAAACAAACTAGTTTTGCCTATCTTGACTTTTTCAAAAACTGTAGATTTTACTTTGCCTCAACAGTGCCTGTTTATTCAGGCTTTCCTAAAACATTCTCTTTGGTGGCATACTTAGAAGCCACAGTTTTAGAGGTTGTTAGTAATTCATATAGGCTATAGTAATGTTTTCCTAACTTAAGGGCAAAACAGTTACTTAGTTTTAAATGTCAGGATTTTTTTTTTTTGAAATATACATATAAATGTATCTATCATTGCTGAGTTAATGCCTTATTCTGGGAATTTAGAATATGTTATTGTTATTATACACAAACCCCCTGTTATAATAAAATGCTGCCTGTTATTTGGCAATTATTACGTATACAATTGGACAAAATAAGTTTTTGAAAGGCAGAAGCATTTCAACAAATGTTCCATTTTAAAAATAAAAATTTATGTTCTCCAAGTAGTAATTATCTTAGGCTTAGCAAACCTTTAAGTTATCACACAATGAAAGCCATTCAAATGAAGGTATTAATATAATATATGGTATGGAATAATAGGATACATGAATTCAAAAGAACAATATTTTAAAAGTGCAGTACATATGTTTTTAACTGGTACATTTAAAATTTTTGTTTAGAAAAAGGTAGTGATTTGTTAGGCAAGTTGGAGGGAGGAGCACATTAAATAGTATATTGGCAAGCTTCCTGAAATGCATATGCATAGTAATTAGAGACATTGATTTTTAAATGTCAGCCAGCTTTTATTCTCTTCTTTTTTTAGCATCTATTTTTATGAACGTGTTTATTCTTCTAATAATTTTTCAAGCTTTCATGAACATTTGTTATACTGTATAGGAAATACATTATTACTGCTGTTTATAACTAAGTTTATAATACCAGCAGTAGTTTAAAATTTTGTTGGTTTAGGTTCATTTCTTATTTGTCAAGTGACAGTTAGGAAATTCCCCATTCTAGCTTTGAGATTTTGGGACATTTGTTATACTTTCTGCTTGAAGCTACTAAACAAATGCCTTTAACAGTGTGTTAAAATACATTATTAAGAGTCATCACTTCCCATTCTAAATAAAAAGCTTTTTGCTAAATTGATTCAACTCAGGATTTGTTCATCCACTATTCATGTTGTTAGTGATCTTTAGTGCCTTAATAGGTCCTTATACAACATAGAGACTAGAGGATATTCCCAGGAGACTGTCCATCTGTGTTACTTTATAACATTTATGTTACTTTGAACTCAGTATGTTTTCATGTTACTACTAATTCATTCAGTGGAAGTTAATCACACAACTATCTCATAGATACTACCATTGAGCATCGAAGGTATTCTATTTTCAGAAAAGCAAGGTTATAAATGAAAGTGTGTCCTGGGATTGTTGAAGTGAACAATTTACAAAGTGAATTTTTAAAAGACATAATCTTAAATTTTCTAATTTTCTGTGGTTAGACTAGTATGGTACACTAAAAATTTTCTATTTGAGTTTGCAGGGTTTTTTGTACTTTAGATGCCATTTAATATTCTATTCCCGATTAGTTCACCAGCTGTACTGTAGATCATTAGGGTTCTGTTATCTCCTGTAGATAACCATGGATGTTAACTGTTCAGGCTCTGAAAAATTTGGCCTACAGATTTGGGCAAGTAATACAGGAAGGATTTTTTGGATTTTTTTTTGTTTTGTTTTTGGTTTTTTTATTTTTTTCTTTTCATAATGTTAGACTGAGATTGTGTCTGTTTATTTGCGTTGTCTATTAGGAAAACAGTTATGATAAAACAAAAGAATGAGATACACTTACATTTAGCTTAAACACAAGAATATTTACATTCTGCACCAGCCTGTACCAGTAGCATTTCCTCTGTGCCATGTCCCACAATACAGTTGTGAAGGTAAAGTTTCTTTATTCATAATGCTTCAGTGCAATCAAGGATTATATACCTTTTGCTGGGTGTGTGGTGGTACCTGTAATCCCAGCTACTAAAGAGACTGAAGCCGGAAGATAACTAGTTTGAGACCAGCCTTGGAAATTTAGTGAGGCCTTGTCTCAAAATACAGTTTTAAAAACAGAAAGGGAGTGGGGGTGGGAAAGGGCAGGGGACGTAGCTCAGCACGTGCTCACGTGATGGTACTATAAAAAAGAGTGATAGACATCTTAGAAGTGGGACTAGGAAGGAAGGGTGATACTGGAAATCCAGTAACTATTATTTTTTAAATTTTATATTCTTTGTATGGTTTGATTTTTATTTCCATGTACATTTATCCTTTTTTATATGAAGTAAGTACATCTTTTAAAAGTGTAACTCCAAGGGCGGCAGATGTAGCTTAGTATTAGTGTTTATCTAGCATGCATATGCCCCTGGGTTTAATCCCCGATACGGCAAACAAATAAATTCATTCCAAACTCTTTAAAAATAAATAAATAAATAAATAAAATGTATGGCATTTTAAATTCTTCATCTCTTCCAAACTTTTTGGAGGTCCTCTTCTCCAACTAAATCATTCTTTATTTTAGCCATACTTGTCCACTTTTCTCTACTTTTGGATTCTTTGTATTTTCAAAATTTAAAAATTTTCCCTTTGTGTTACCAGCTCTTTAGGGCGGAGCCCAAATCTGATCTATTCAAACTTTATCAGATACATTAATAACAAATACCTGCTGCTACCTCACTGCTTTCCAATGGCAAATACTCTTTTGTTACACTGTGATAGCTGTAGTTAGTTGGTTTCAGACCAGGAAGCCTGGCGAGTCTTCAAAATGAAGACTATCAAGCAGATTATTTTGACTAGAAAGGGTGACCAATCACAGGGCAGTTAGCCCTGACACGTTTCATCTTGTATGTCCAATACCAAACAAATGATGAGTATTGGAACACAATTTTTATGTCAGAACACGTAAAGTACCAAATTTGATAAGTTTCAAAGCACTTGAGTATCAAGATATGAGTGTACTCTTACCAGAAGCTGTTAGGGTTGTTTTGTGTCAGGTTCTTCTGTTAGATTTTTGAAACAGAATTATTTAGGTTTATATATCTCCCATGCTCTATGTAGTATAGACACACATTGAGTGTTTCTTCAGTTGAATCTTTATAAATTTTTAAATATATCCATTATTTATTTTGTTTTCTTTCCCAGAGACACTATGTATTATTGTTCTAATTTTGTTTTCATTATTATTTTATAAATTATTTTCTGAAAGTAAGAATTAATTCTTTGGTGCTTACCTTCTGTAGTGCATAAGACAAGAATAATTAGTTTTTCACGGAGTCTGTTGTAGAAATATTGATTATTATACAATGTTATAGTTAAAGAAAAGTACTTTATAAGTGATGCTTCTTTCCCTTGTAGGTTACTTCCTCAGAATGTTGGCCTTCTCTATGTTGGAGGTTTTGAAAGACCCTTTGCACAAATCAAGGTATGAGGTTCTTTTTTAGTGTGCTTTCCTTAGACATTCATTTGTTAAGAATCAATCAAAAACTAATAACATATCAAAAATAATGTGAATCTGAAGTAATAATTTCATTGGGTTTTGTATATTCCTGCTGAAGAAGTCATTCAGCTTTTAAAATTCATCATTTTAATATTCGTGTCTATATGGTACTGTATTAGAGCTGACTTTGGCCAAAACAATTCTGATCACTTGGGATTGAACCCAGTGCCTTCACGTGGAGTAACTGTACATTCCTAGTCCTTTTTGTATTTTTTTTATTTTGAAATAGGGTCTTGTTAAGTTGCCCAAACTGAGCTTTAATAAGCCTCTTGCAGGAGTGCCAAGATTACAGATGTGGGCTACCAAACCCAGCTTCTAATAGTCTATGAAAGTGATTTTATAGTGCTTTCTAAAAAATAATTTTGTGTTCTACTAAAAAAAAACACCCCTTCCACTTTTCTGATCTGGATACCTTCTTTGCTTTTTCTTTATTACACTAGAAATAAACTTACAGTACAGTCTTGAATAGAAGTGATAAAAACAAGCCAGACATGATGGTACACGTATATAAGCCTAGCAGGAACTGATCACTGCGAGTTGGAGGCCACCCCAGGCTACAAAGTGAGTTCAAGGCCAGCCTGAACTGCAGTGAAAGCCTGTCTTAAGAAAAAAAAAAAAAAAACCCAATAAAGAAAAGATAAAACAGATATCCTTGCCTTGTTCCTAATCTTAGGAAAGCATTTACTCATTCATCAGAATTATTTTTAAGATAATACTAGTTAATGTTAGTGAAAGATTATGAGTTAAGACTAGGCTTTCTTATAAGAAATGGAAAAATATTGACATTCAAGATAGTTTATAAAAATGAAGATTTGAGATCATCCTTTTTTGTTTTTATAACTTTTGGTAGCAGTTTTGAGAGCTGTATAAAATTTATTTTGCGAGTTTTGTTTAGTTTTCTTATTTTTTTCCTGATTTTCCTTCACATATGCTTCTTGGCTACATGAATTATTTTTCCTGTTTGGGGGTTGTAATTTTAAATTCCTTTCCATATGACTATATCACATTTTTGTGCTTTGCAAGCAGTGATTTTGAAGAGTAGACTGAGCCTGAACAGGACATTCAATATACTTAGTGTTGATAATGTTCAATCATAATCTCAACATCATTAAATAAATTTTATCTTAGTTACCATAGTATTGGTACCTTTAAAAATATTTCCATTAATTTAAATAAAACCACTTTTCTTTAAAATTTAAGATTAGAAAAATACACTTAAAGATTTATTGTTAGTTTCTTAAACTGTGGTCTATCTTGTACTTCTCTGGTTTTTCAGTGATGACATGCATTCAGGTACATTTTTTCCTCCTGTTTTTAATTATCCCTGGAACATGAATGATATTGTGCTATTGACAAGCGCTTTTTCATAAGAAGATTCCCTCACTTTTCCCGTTCACTGAATTCAGTAGTATAGTCCGAAATCCTAATAGATCTCATCAAGTGCATTTTGTGACAGTCCAGTTTTTTCTATCCAGTGGTCTTGAAAATCGTGTTTTTTCTTATTAGAACTGAAATAACTAAAAAGCAAGAAGCTTATCTGAAGCATTTATGAAAGGATAGAATTTTTTTGTCAATGGATGTGGATTATTTCATATCTCAGAAAATACGATCTTGGTGTATGTATGAAGGTAATTCCTCTATTGATCACCTGATGCATTAACGTAACATTTTCTTTCTCTGGGTCCTTTATAACAAACTCTCATATACAGTTACATCTTTGGCACCCTTTTATAGTTGGGTAATTGAGTCTTTTGAAAAGAAAAGTCCATTATTTTAGTTTGTCTTTATTCCTTTAAAGTTACTCTGGGAAAGGGTTCTCTCATTGATTGAAAAGGTTTCTTCTGTAAATCCTGTCCCTCTATATAATTAGACCCCTGTCTAATTAAATACTTGAATGTCCATCCCAAAACAGTAAAATAATTGTAGTTTAAATTTTTGAACAGTTGAATGCTTGAGAAGAGATTAGAGATTTCAGATTCATTTCTTGCTTTGCCTCATGCCTGACTTTTGTTAAGCATGAAATAGTAGTATTTGTTAAACTCACTTTTCTTCCATTCAGTGTTACGATAACATGTCATGTTACAGATATCAAATATAACCTTTTAAAAATGCAGTTTTGCTTAAGAACATATTGGTTGTTGATTTTTAAAAATAAATTAGACATGAACTCGCTCACTTGATTATTGAGAAACAGGAATCCTCATTTATTAATATCTAAGGCTTAATCAAGTTCCTTAGTGATATGGCTTGGTGTTGGAGATGCTGCTAAAGAAATATGTTATGATTGCATTTCTAAGAAGGGGCTCCATTGTCTGAAGATCAGAAAGAAAAATATAAGCATATAAAGGAATAATACAAACTTGGACAAATGTTGAATGCATTTAGGAATTGATATGGTTATGCCAGTAGATGTCTGAACTATTAGCACATAAGTTTGGTTATTGTAGCCATTCTGCCAACTGAACATACATGTACTCTTTCATTGTTTACTCAGCTTTTAGTTTCTCTTGAAGCCTCAAATAAAGGCATAAATATGTATGAACATATGACTTCATCATAGTCTTAAACTGGGATTCTTCTGCTAATTATAGCTTGTTAGGGGAAGTTACTTCAACCTACCTTTCATGTGTTAAAATGTTTGGTAAGTCATGGGAGAAGGTTCTTTCATACAACTTTTACCCAAAACAGTGACTCTACTCTGATCATTGTCCTCTTTCAGACTGTATAAAAGCCATGAACTTTCCCAGGGAAGCTCTCTCCGCAGCCCTCCCTCCTGCCCTGTCTCTCCCTTCCTGCCTCACTCCTGGTACCTCTGCCTTCCCCTCTCCCTCCCCCTTTCTAATTTAAGTAATCAAAGGACCCCGAGCTAAAAGTAGATGTTTCCCCAACCTTTTCTGTTTACCAAGAAAGTATTGAATATATAAAAATGTATTTCTTCACGGGAAATTTTCTTTTGGAGACTTTTATTTTAAACATATGTGTTTTACGCAGTGCATGAAACAGATTTCACCCTTACCCAAGACTAACTTATTTTGAATTTATGTTTCTAAATGTTGAGTTGTTTGTAACTTAAGGTGCGAGATTATTATACACTTATATGCAGTTTTTGAAATTAAAATGGAGCACTTTGATTAAATAATAATTTGGTTTATTGCTATTTAAAATCTTTCAAGCTGTCAGAAGCCCCTTATATAGGGCTTGAGATTAGCTATTTCTGTACACATCAGTGCATAATACCTTGTCTTAATTTGTGTATGTATTCTTTTAGTCACATCTTATTTTTGGAGATACATTCAAGTTGCAGTAATATGTTTTATATCTATTTTATGGGATTTTTTTTTCTAGAGCATTTCATAGTCTGGTAAAAATCGTAATGCTAATTCTCATAGATTTCTAGTCCTGGAGACTTCACTTAACAGCCAGAATCCATCAAATCAAGAGGGATTGAAGCCTGTCAACATCACCAGTAATCAACCTGAGGGTTGTTATGGAAAGACTAAAGGCCACAGGGCTTGATACTAGTTGTCTCTTTCTGTTCTGACAGCCCAAGAAGTGTGAGAGACTGAGGCTGAATTCAGAGCCAGCTTTCTATGCTTTAACACTGCAGAAAGGCAAAAAAAAAAAAAAAAAAGTGGAAAAAAGGCTTTCATATTTCAAATACAAATTCCATACAGCAACAATACATGAACAGTAAACATTACAACCATTATTTGGGATTTTTTTGAAGTTTTATTTAAAAGGAAAAAGAGAAAAAACAAAACAAAACAAGATAGTGTAAGGCTACAAGTAATAAAAAACAAAAAACAGTAAGAAATCACCAGTTAATAGATTACACATTATCATCTTAGAGATAGTTGTTTAAGTTACAGGATCAAAGCATACAAAGTGGACATTCAAACAGTGAGACTGCAAACAGTTGTGTTCAGTGATCCAACAAAAACATTAATAATGGTCAGCTATCTTAACATACCTAAATACACTCGCAGTTGTATCCTTTAGAGCACTTTTTTTCCCCTCTCTTTTACAACAAAATTCACACATTTTGGGTTTTATTACTCCCATAGTTATTACTTTTTTTTTGGAAGAGAATAAAACCAAATATGACAAAACAAAGCTGTTAGTCAAAACCAAGGATAGACGTAGCACATGATGTAAAAACAGAGTATGAAGTTATCAACAATGGTTACCATAATGCCTCTTGCTTCCTTAAAAAGAATTGCCTATATCATTAGGTACTATAAAGTTGAACAAAACAGTACAGAACAAGACCAATAAAACCTAAACATTGTAAATATTACAGGACTTCAAAAGAAGATAGTAGTCAAACCAGAATGGACATCATAGTGAATCTTACTACCTTCAAAGTAGTTGCCTATACCCTCAAACTTGATACTATCAAACAGAGCGGAACAGAGTCTAATCAGTCAAAACAAGATAGTGGGAGTAATACAGGACTTCAAGTCAAGTTAATAGGAAATTTAAAAAGTTACTATACTATATATCCTAATTTTAAAAAATTTTTCCCCTTAATTAAAAAAATAATAAAAAAATAACTAATTTTTTTAATGAATAAGGGAGAAATTGAGATAAAAGAGGACATAACAACATAACAATTCAGGTCAAAGCATGACAATTTCAGCAACCTAGTGCTTCACCACCAAATAACCCGACTTAATAGTAGTTACCATAGTTTCTTTTTCCTTGAAATATTTGAATATTCGTATATATGGCATCAAACATATCAAGACAGTGTAAAACCATTCAAGTGGATGAAAGTATTATAGGGTATTTAGAACCAGCTAACAGAAAACGAACAATGGTTTCTATATTATCTCTTTGTCTATAACAATTTTTGTTTATACTATCACATATAATAAATTCCAGCAAGATGCAACATGATAAAACCAATGGAGACAGAAGAGCCA